AAAAAAAAAAAAAAAAAAAAAAAAATGTTATCGTTAGCATCTTAATAAACCAGAGAAAAATCGGAGACAGTTTTACAATCGCTTCATGTCAACTACAATGGCACTGAATGAACAGGTTTCAGCTTTATACAGCATTTTGCAACATCAACATGCCTAGGTTTTTTTTATTTTTAAAGTCTGCTACCTACTTGTACGTCGTACGTGTACATAAAAGCGGCAGCTGGGTTTTTTTTCCTTTTAAGAGTAATCTAATATACAGAATTTTGGCCCTTAAGGGTTTATACCTCTTCATTTAAAATGCTTTTTCTGGACAATCTGCTACCAAACACATCTTGTTATAGGTGACATTAAAACTACACACAAATCTACCTATGTAACATCACAGCAAAACATGATGAACAAAAATTACAGCATCGGAAAAGAGGGAGAAAGCTAGAGTCACTGAGAATTTTGGCACATAAAGTTTTGCACAGTCAGTCCACGTCCTCGGGGTGCAGGGCATTCGACTGTGAGTTCAAAGGGGAAACGGGACGGTCCCCACCGTCGCTCATACAGCGTCGCTAAAATTCCCTCCCTAATTTTCAAGTCTTGTTTCACATAATGGCTTTTAAAGCAACTTCTGTTAATGCTACTGATCCTTTAATGCAACTATTCACGTCCATTTGGCGGAATCTGGGTTTCATACAGGGGAAAAAAAAATAAAGTCGTCGAAAATGGAAACAAAAAAATATATATACACATTTTATATATAAACTTAAAAACCTTGTACAAATGAGTTGTTATATATAAGATGCTGATGCTAAGGGGGAAAAAGACTTTATACAGTTTCAAGAGAAAAGGAAAACATATCTTAAAGGGGACGACATACAGGTTCGACGAGCAATCTCTAAAGCAATAAATACTACTGGTCCGACAGCGCTGTGATTCCATTCATTGTTGAGTAGCAACCCCTCCCCCCAAAAGAACAACACCATGGAACAAGGTATATTAACACATTTTAACCCTTTGTTTCTGTACATTTAAACAATAACAAGTAACATCACAATAAAAGTCGTTTCACACGGAAGAAAGAGAAGTAGCGGCACTGCATTCGTGGTGCCCTTGTGGTTTAAAAACCAGATGTAAAATGATTGGTTCGCAAGCTCGTATTTAATACAAATAATACAGAACCAACTCCTTCGGGAGGGCTGCTTCGAAACGGCTGCTTTTTTTTTTTTTTTCCCTTTTTGTTTTTTAATCAGTCTTTTAAAACTAAGCTATCCGAACTACATAACAGTTATGTATATATATATATTTTTTAAACGCTACAAAGACTTTAAACAGCTGTTGATAAAAATTTTGGTAGAATCATGAGGTTCTTCTCTCATCTACATATTTAAAAGGAGAAATTGAAATAAGAATGGGTCAAATATTGACCAATGAACTCGATAAACATTAACTAATGTAGCCACGTGGCACAAAATTAAAGAGTACAAAAACGAAACCTTTCCCAAGAGGGGGGAGAAGATAGAGAAAAGCAAAATGAAACACTACACAAAACAACCAGGGCCAAGGAAGCTAAAGCTATTCTAAAGACTTGGTGACCAGGGAGAGCGGCTGGGGCTGGGGCCCGGCCAGGGCGCCGTGGGAATGTACGGAAGATGTCGAAGGCTGGGCGACGGAGGAGGGGGGCAGGACGGGCGGCTGCAGGGCGGGGGGCAGGTCCAGGGCCCCGTTGGGACAGAGGGCGGGGGCCTTGCCGTGGGCGGCCTCGGCAAGCAGGAGGGCGGGCGGCGGCATCAGGGCCAGGTGGGCCAGGGGGTCGGGCTTCAGGGACAGCGAGAGCGGCTGGGTCTGCTCAGTCTGTGACTTGGCGTCCTGGGGAGGGGAGCCTAGCAGGCCGGGGGAGGGAGGAGGCGAGTCTAGTAAGCTTCCATCTGAAGAGGGTGGACTGAGGCAGCTGCCTTCACCTTGTATGTAGCGAACGCACTTTTTTTTTCTCCTAGAAACAGGGGAGAGAGTTTCTGTGAATAGAGGGGCAGAGGTGCCGAGGGAGAGAGTCGAGCCGAAGCCGCCTGACTGCTGCCCCGGGGAGACCGCACGCCCGTGGCCAGAGCGCTACGGAGGTCCACGGGGTGCGGTGCCCACGTCGCTCCTGCCCACACCTAAGGCTGCTCTGGCCAACCAAGTATTTAACTGTATCGAACTCCCTACCTACCTGCTTCCCCGACCCCCCCTAAATACCCGTGACCCCTCCCCTGCCCAGGTGTCAGGGAGCAGGCTAGCGGATGCCACCTGTATGCGGTGGCACCGACTCGCTAGGGAGTGAGATGAACTAAAAAACTTATTTCTCTTTGGGCTTAAACATTCCCTCGCTCTGCCATCAGACCCCGCCCCACGCCCACCCGCACCCCCACCCCCAATGGTGTGCGTGGGTGTGCGTGTGTGTGTGCGTGAAGAGAAAGACAGAGCTCCTTCCCAGGCGCCTCATCCGAATGTGAAACTCTGAAAATGCTGACTAGTGAGCCCACAGAGCTGAAGGCAGCGCTGCTAGCAAGAGGCTTAAAGTTTCCAACACACCAGCACCAGCACCAGCACCAGCACCACCACCAGCACCCCCAGCAGCCGCTGGCGCCCAGAGGGCTGTGGGGCGTGTCTGTTAAGAACCACACCAAATCAAGAGGGTCAGAATCAGGCGGGAGGGGGGAAAACAAAAAGAAAACAAAATGAACTTAAATGAAACAAAAGAACGAAAACGAAAAATAAAGAACGAAAAAGAAAAAAGAAAGAAAAAAAAAAAACCACCAAAAACAGGCAGAAGAGGGGAAACCAAGGTGGGGGAGGGGAAGGAATGAGAAAAACAGAAAATGATCCAGAGGAACAAGAATAACTGGTCGTATGGCCTGCAGGTTGTGGATTCGATCAGGATCCAGGCTGGATCTTTTTCATTTTTATTTTTTAAGACTGGGGGTCTTCCCCTCCCCCACCCCAGAGTGAGAAGGCGGGAAAGGAGAGGCGTGAGGATGGCGTGGAGGGCGCAGCAGGTCAGGAGGACGCGAGGACGAGAAGGCGTGCCGGGGTCGTGGCGTGGACCTTCGGGCCTGGGTTACCCTGGCTTGTTTTTGGGTTCTTTCTTGCCCTGTACCAGCACCAGACCGTCCCTTTTCTACTTCCTGTCACATAAGGCATCGGAAGAAGGAAGCAGAGCCCCTCTGGCTCCCCATCAAAGCTTGGGGAAATCAAGACACCGAGCGTGTGACCTCGAAGCTTCCCCTACGCTTAAGCCCAGTCCGCTGGGAGAGCGCTGGGCAGGAAAGGCGATCCTGGATCGACCCGGTCCTGCAGATGCAGGGGAAGTGCTGGTCTAAGGAGAACACAGGCAGGCAGCAGCGACGAGCGCTGATGACACCCCGTGTGAGAACAGTGTGTGAGCGCCGGCCGGCTTTCCATCGCTGGAAAGCAGCTAAGATGCCGCCTGGGGTGAGGCAACCACTGCCAGGTGTCCCCGGCCACTGGGAGGAAGGGGGTGTAATGAGTTCCTCCTGGGGTCTGTGCCCCAGAGCGGTCTGATCATGCCCCGGAGTGCGTGGGGTGTGGGCCCGGCGAGATGGCGGGAGGGGGGGAGGATGGGAGGGGACATGCTTGGTCTTCCTTCAGGGTCCATCCATCCTGCCTCTGGGTCAGAAGGAACTCTAGGGGAGTGGGGACGGTCCCCCTCACCTTCACTCAAACCGACACAGTTCCTTTCTCTCCTCTGGGACAGACTGAAATATAGACTGTGGTCCCTCCTCACTCCCACCCCAGAAGCCCAAGAGAAATAATTAAGCCCCTCAGAGTTTTAAACCACCTTAGCCTGCAGATCAAAACATGCTCCAAAAACTAAGAGGTCCATGCATTTTAAAAATGGGAGAAGGGAGGAGGGAGGGGAGTTGGGGGGGGCATAAGCAACATGGAGAAAGCAACAGGGAGAAATGACAGGGGGGAGAAAGGGAGAGAGAAAGGGGACAACAGGAAACAAGGAATGACGTCAGGCAGCATTCCATGTTCTACCAGGGCAGAGGGGAAAGATGGGAGAAGCAACTTGGTGGGCTCCAAACAGAATCTTGTTAAAAATGTCCTCCAATGTCAAGAAAAATTAGAAACCCTGTGTGGCGAGGGAGGAGCCCTGATTGGCCAGAAGCGTTTCTGGTGCTCCCTCCCCGCTCCCCCCCGCCCTCCCGTGTGTATCGTGGGGACGTGTGGGGGCACTGTGAACACGGGACATGAGGACTATGCATGACAGGTGCCGCTCCTTCTAACAGGTGGCTGAGCAAACGGCAGTGAGAACACACACTTCTGATGGGCCGGAAAATGCCTCGTTTTGCAACTTTTCTTTTTTTATTAACGCATCCTGTCCTAGTGATTTAGCACCGAGCCAGATCCTGGCAAAGTAAAGAGGGAAAAACGGACAAAACCCATCCTCTTACCCCCCACAACCCGCCCCAGGCTCCATCTCCAATCAAGGGGCAGCCTCTTAAAAATCCATTTTTTAGCTCCTGATGGGTTTATTTGGAAGGGAAAAAAAGTTCTCCCTGATCCTGTTTTGGAGTTTCACCCTTAAAAGAGCAGCAATGTATCTGCTAGCAGCTTTCAGGGTATGAAAATCAGCATCCCAAAGGAGAAAAGCGGGCACCAGGAGCCCAGGAATGACGAGGGGCCTCAGCATCCACAGCAACACGCTAACGGCCGGCCGCTCAAAGCTGCACGTCAGGAGATCGCATTTACGAGGCAGCTACAAAGGCCTTCCGTTGTTTTTGTTTTGGGTAAAAATGTGAAAATTCTAGCCTCTGAGGAAGATGCCACACCGTGGCTTTAAGCAAGGTGCAGCTGCGTCTGAGAAGGGAATGTCTGTCCAGTCAAGGTTAGTAACGGTAACTTTCACCAAAAAAAAAAGAAAACAAAAAGAGCCAACTCACAGCAACTGCTTCCAAACCAAAAAGGGGTTCACAAACCACCACTCACCTCCCACGAATGAAATGCACAAACAGGCAACAAACCCCGCTGCGAGGTGCACATGGTGTCAGCCATACTTTCTACAGATCGGGGGAAGCCCTCCCTTAGGGTGGACCCTGGGGTTAGCTCAGCCTTGGCCATGGCAGGACATCTCAGAACGGGATCCCCCAGCTAGTGATCTTCCCACTCGGCACAAATAAAACCCTGGCACAAACTCCCTGCCTGGGTAATTAGGGTAAGCAGGGTTCCTGTCTTCCGGGCTGGTCCTAATTAAATACCTAACATCTCTGGTAAACATCATGAATCCCTTTTCTGTAGCATAGAGAAGACCCCGGGACTGTGTGTGGAAAGGACATTTGTCACCTCCGGGAAAACTGCCATCTTGCAGAATGGCTGAGAATCCCTGAGAACCCCTCTCCTGCTAGTGTTCACCTGAGGCCCCCCCATTCTCACTCAGTGGGTGGGGAGTGGCCTGGGGAGTTCCCTCTCCATCAAGACTCTCGGGCCCTCTCTCCCCTACGGGTGTGGTCCACGCCAGGCACTGCTCCAGTCTCTTGTAAGGCACCGGGAGGGGGAGGGGACACAGGAGAGTCGTGGGCATGCACGTGATGGGATGGACGTCTGATCTAACGTCTAAACACGGAACACATGGCGAAGGCATGGCAGAGAGGGACACGTGACAAGGGAGGCACTACAAACAGAAAAGCGTGTTTGGGTGTTGAGATACCTACCATCATAATATTCCAAATTCAAAGACTGCTTGTATCAGAACAAAGAAACAACAAATTTAACCAAGGTGGTCATTAAAGGAAAGGAAATGAGACAGGAACTAGCTGGTATCCCTCCACCAAGAAGGAAGTACCTACGCCTTCCCTGAGATCATAGGTTGGATGGAAGCCTGCAGGTGGAACCCGAGTGTTTGATCTGGACACTTCTGGTTCATTTTGGAACCAACGCTCTCTCTCCCTCTCTCTCTCTCGAGATGTGTGTGTTTTCCAGCCTGCAGGCCAGCAGCACCGCGCTATGGGCCCGCAGGCCTCACGTTGCAGCCCTTTCGGCTGGTGCATGCCAGTCAATGCCACGCTTCCTTGCAGCACTGTTACACAATGTCAGCTAGCCAACCTCCTCTGTACACAGATGTGGTTTTTTAACATAAAACAAAACAACAAAACCAAACCAAAAAAAGCCTGCCCCAGAGCACTTCTCCGAGTGTCTTGACTCCTAGTGCACAGGAATGCTACTGCTGCCAATCTTAGTTCCCTCGATGCTCAGCACACAGGCCACGGAAGCACTCGCAGGGCTGGGCCTGTTTCCGGATGCTGGCTTTCAAAGCCAAGGGGCAAGTGTCTGTCCTGGTCTGTCAGGGTTGCGGTCTAGGCCCTACCACCAGGGTTATGTTATTTGTAAGAGGAGAGGGGGGGAAGAGAGGAAGAGAAAGTGGGGAGAGCATAAAATTAGCAGGGAAATTTTGAAGAGTGAGGATCATTAGTCATTGATGCCAGTGCGGGGTAGGTGGGAACAGGGTCCAAAATATAGTGACACACTAGGGTACCAGAAGGACAGAGCGCTTTGATTTTTCCCAAAGGCCTCGCAGTGGTCATATACCTGCACGGTTTGCACCATAAAGTCTGTCGGTCAAGCCCGAACAGTGCCCGACACTTCTTTGGAGTATTTGCATCTGTTAGCATAAGGTAAACACAAAAAATACAACACAATGGTGGGTCGTGCTCAGTTGGATGTGAACTCTCAGCTACAGCTGACTTGTCTTCTAACATCACCTCGGCTCTACTGATTGTCTTCCCTCACCAAGGACATGAGAGGAAAGGACTTCTATGAGTCAAAAGAAAAAAATAAAATAAAACGATAAAAACACACACACACAGAAAACAACAACAACCAGAAACCAAAAAACAACAAGGGGAAAAAATAAATAAAAACAGAGAGAGAAGAGGAGGGGGGAAGGTGACGTTGTTGGCGTCTACACCTAGGCCAGGGTTACGGTGGATGTCACTGGGCCCCCATCCCGGGCTGTCATGAGGAAGGGGGCTGGCAGGCAACGTTCCCTGGGAGGGGCGTGCTGGGGTTTGCTGTCGCTGACCCGAGGAGGCACAGTGATGCTGTTTTACAGTGGCATTTGGCTAGCAGCAGCGGGGGAACAAGCACATCCCTCACAGAGCAGTGTCCCGCGCCCTCGTGTCTCCTAAGATCCACACACAGAGCTACAAAGCGACAGGCCAGAGAGGGGGAAAAAGACCGAAAGGACCAGCTGCAAACCAGCACAGCGAATCTGGGAAATCTATACACACCTGCAAGGGCCGCACCAGTTATTCTGTTGATCAAGGCCAAAGCGCGCTCGGCATTTCTTAGGAGCGCTCAGGTCTGAATGAGTTCAAGAGAGAAGCGAGCAGAGAGGAGGGAGAGAGAGGGAGAGAGGGAGAGAGGGAGGGAGAGAGGGAGGGGGGAGAGAAAGATACAAATAAGAAAAAAATAAAAATAAAAAAGGGAATAAATCAATGACCTGGTTACTAATTACAAAATATCGACTTTCGATTTTTAACTTTCTTTAATTAAAAAAAAAAAAAAAAAAAAAAAAAA